CCCAGATCGCTCTCTCTCTCTCTTTTTTTTAATTGGGGAGTCGTGGGAGGGGAACAGTGTTGGGGAATTGGGGAGGGAGATCAGCCAAGTTGTTGTTCTTCAATCTTAGTTGTGGAGAGCACCAGTCGCCATCTGGCTGCCCACTGGCAGCTCGTGGCCTTTAAGCTCAAGGTGCTGTGTTACAATCATAGTTGCAGGTGGGCGTAGCCACCATCCCATGCGGGAGTCGAACCAGCAGGCTTGTTGTTGAGAGCACGTGCTCTAGCCACTGAGCCAACCGGGTGGCAGCTCAGCTCAAGGTGCTGAGTTCAGTCTTAATTGTGGGCAGGCATAGCCCACCATCGAACAGGCAGTCTTGTTCTTAGGAGTACATGCTCTCACCAGCTGAGCCATCCTGCCAGCTCAGCTCGGGGGCAGTGTCACTGACCCATGTGGGAATTGAACTGGCAGCCCTGTTGCTCAGAGCTTGCGCTCTTAAGCTAACACTTAACCAACTGAGCCAATTGGCTGGCCCCAGATCTTTTTTATAAAATGTTATGAGGGCTAAATTTTATACTAAAGGTCATGGGAGTCTTTGAAGAGTCTTATCATGGGTCATGGCCACAGAGCGCAGATGTGTTAGAGACAGGAAAAGGGCCCTAGCCAGCTCCCTAGTTGAGGCAACTTTGCTTGGATTAGGGAAAGGAGAGCCTCTGAAGGGACACAGCTCTGAGCCAGGGTGCAAGACTCGAGGGTTGAGAGTGGTTTGGATTTCTGCCTTTACTTGGCCCCTCAGCCAGGTGACTATGCAGTATGCAAACTGCAAAGCTACAAGACAGGACCCCTAGACAGAAGAATGGGTTAAGAGATTCTTGCCAGAACAATGGCGGAGGCCATAAAATGAAAAGAAAGCTATAGGGATAAGAGATGTTTAGAAGAGAGAAATATGACTTGGACATAAATTGAGGCAGAAGAAATCATGGGTGGCTCCCAGGTATTGGGTTTGATTGGGAGGGTAGTGGTCCCAGTCACAACAGTAAAAAATCCAGAAGAAGTACCAGCTTTGGGTAAAAGTTGATAAACTCTGTTTGGGATAGGATGACTTTGTGGTTCTGTGGGACACCCTGGTGGAATTATCCAATAGACTGTTGGATATATCATTTGAAGTACAGGTAAGATATATTGCCTAGCAATATACATGTGGGAGTCATCAATATGCAAAAAAGAGCAGAAGTTGTGGTAGTTAAGATCACCCAGGCTACGGGAAGCGTAGAAAAGGTGAAGATTTGTCAAATATTTTATTTCAATAATTTATTCTTTGTTGACATCATCTACAATGGATCATGGATGGAACAATGACCAACTACATTTTCTTCTTTGTTCTTTTCTTTTTCTTTTGTAATGTCTAGAGCTGTGGTACTTGCCATTTGAAAACCTGATCTTAAGTTTCCTTACAGAGGAACAATTGATTTTCCATTAAAGCCTGTTTAAACATTAGCTGTGAGGGTGCAGGGAACCGAATACTCATAAATAGTTTCTGGAAATGTGCCTTTGTCTTTTAAAATCTGATTTGCAATTGTGTTAAAGTGAACCTGATTACTTTGGCATTAGGTATCTCAGGAGATGTGTGTCTCTGGCTAAATCTGAGCTGCTATTCTAAAAAAGGAAACTGAAGCAGCTTTTTGGATAAAAGAAGCTAAGCATGACCATGAATTGCAGAATTTCCAGGAAAAATGATGTTTCGATAACAACTGCACTTTTCTCTCACCACCAACTAGAACAAATGCAAGAAGGCAGCTGAGCTTGGAACTGAAACATTCTCTGAACTCACAGCTTGTGATACTGTCTCTTAATAGCTACGTGTTAATACAGAACTGTTGAGAAGAGTCACATTCCAAAGACAGTAAAGACCTTTTTCTAATAATGTAGGTGTAATCATAAGAATATAAACTCTTAACCATCTCCCATTTATTTATTTATTCATTCAATCTGCAAGTCTTTGCTGAATGTATTTTATGTGGCATGTACCCTTAATTCAAAGAAGCCCTGTATGCTTTCTCACTATATCTTTCATCATTCTGGCCACTGAATTTGCCTTCATGATTTTCTATGCCATAACCCTCAGTAGAAATGCCTCCTATATGTTTTCCAAGAGTAGCATTTTATTTGTCTACACTCTAGGTAACAGGATCATTTCTTTCGAAGGGTACTGACTTTCCAGGTATTTTTCTAATACAAGGGATGGGTATCATTATATATGATTACATATGATTCATATGTAATCAGCCCATTTATGAGGAAAATAAACCCAACACTCATGTCTGGATAGCTGGTTGAGAAACAGCTTTTTATCTTTTGTATGTCTAAGGAAATAATTACGGAATCCACAGAATGGGGAGAGTAAAGGCAAGTGTAATACCAGTTGTGTTGTGACCATTCACCCTTTTGATATGGTTATTATGTCAACTCACTTCAAATGCTGTAGGAAGAGGTCACTTGGAGTGGAGAAAGAAATGACCTACCCCTCGCAAGGGAAGTGGCCTCTGTCCTTGCCAGCTGACGTGTAGGAATATCATCTAAAAAAACTGCAGTGTGCCACATATTCATAGATCGATAGAGAATTTGTGACCCTCACAAAATAGTTCACCCAAAATACTGACTCAGTGTGGACAAACATCCTTCAGGTTAATGAGATCAAACTGTTGAACAAAGGGAGGAAAACTTAAAGTTCAAGTGTGAGGAGACATTGCCAAGTGCACATTTATCAGGAATGAATATAAAGCAACTCAAAAATGACATCTTGGTTAACGGGAAATGACTTAGTTGTACAAGGTAAGCTTTACAAAATGTTCAGGAAAACATCTACTGCAAACATGACCTAATATCTAGTATATGTTTTTTGGTCTGAAACACTAGATCCCTTTTTTGTATCTGTGCTACGCAATTTTTATCCGAGAGATGTGCACATAATTTTCCAACGCAGTAGTATTGTTTAGGTTTTCAAATTCTAAATTCTGCTCCACCAGGAGGTAAAACCATGAAGGGATGTATCTTTAGCTACAAGAGTTTCTCCTTCATTGGAGCTTGTTTGCCTCTGTGGCATATGTGGGTGGAGGGTTTTGCACATGAATAGGTCTGGGGACAGATGGAAGTCCTAGGATGCAACTTCAAGAGAGATATAGACAGGTAACAAAGAAGATTCTGACTGTATGGGCTGTGGCAGGTGGACATGCAGAGTGACCTGGACAAGGCAGTTTGGAAGCAGTGATTCCCCCAGATTTCTTCAGTTCATTGTTGAGTCTGTTTGCCAGGCATTGTTTATTCCCTGCCTTACGTCTTTACAGCTCTCTACCAGGCACTAATTTTGAACACAGGGACATCAAATAATCAAGGCCCAGAAGACTAATAATCTGTACAGATTCTTCCTGATCTGCAGGAGGGAGACGTTTTCTAATCTGGGTAATGGGTAGAATTTGTGTCATAGTCAACAGGTCTTATTTTAAATAATTTCCTTTGAGACTAATAAAAATACTTTCTTTTAGAAGAAATTTTCTCCCAGATTGGTCCTCCCTGTTCCTCTCATAGAATCAATGCACCTTGGCTATTATGATAGAAGTAACTTCTTATTTAAATTTTATTTTCTTCTTGACTTTGTTTAACAAACCTGGTTATTTTCTTTACAAGAGTCTGTGTGAGCTCTCCTGCGTCTTCCCTCTGCTCACTCATTGGTCCAGAGAAAGCCAGTGTTCTCCTTTGGCCTAGACCTACTAATGCAGAATGCAATCAGCCTAATGTGTCTTTGTTCATATTGTATACATGCAATACTATAAATTTGAAATGGGTTACCTTAAAAGCACAAGTGATTTCTTCTGAAAGTCTCCTTAGAGTTGTTTATTACAGGGCTGTCTAAACATGGGGAAGTGAGCTCAAGACCCTTCATGGCTGAATTGAGTCCTTAGGTTCTCTAATTTTAAGCAGTTTTTATAATTTTTTGACTGAGTTAAATATGCTCATTTCAGCATAATGATAAGATTTGCACATGACCACATCTAGTATTAAGAGAAGGTGAGGGCCGGCTGAGTGGTGCGATAGTTAAGAACTGGCTTGGGACGCCAGAGGGTCCCGGTTCGGATCCCACATATGAGGGCCAGTGACACTGCCCTCTACAGCTAAGATGCTGAACAACAGCTT